ATTGATTGAATGGTAGGATTCTATCATACAGTTCAATACATTTCAGGGTTTCCCACAGCGTATTATAAGCCTGGTGGGGCCACCAGTCTTTATTTGTGCCGCCACCAGGCTAAGCATTGTTTATTTATTCTAGTTTTTGTCAAATGTTTGCATCTTTTACGACTTTATAGTTATTGTTTGGGTGTTAATCTTCCAATCTTTCAATAACACATAATTATCAAAATATAATTTCAAATTTCCCGTCAACTTTAAACTTTTTAACTCAAAAACACGACAGGCTACGGGATGACTGACTGCCGTCACACCCAACCACTGGGCTTATCAGGTTTTCTGGGGGATACCCTGCAAGCACAATGCATGCAAATATTTATTTATCACATACCAGAAAAAACAGTTACCTTCTGTTTATTCATAGTCATGGTTGTGTTTTTCTGTCTTTGTTTTAGGATCAATGTGAAGAAGAGGTATGTGTAACATCTCTTAAACAATGAGCTACACAGCAAGATAATATGCGTTTGTCCTGAATATTATTTTTTATTTTTTTGCAAATGCTCTGTTTTTTTATTGTTTCATTATAAGAGAGAACAAATATCTCGGAGGAAGCAAAGGTCTTCTTCAAGAAGCCATATGAAGAAGGGATGACCAGGGTGGGATCTCCACTGGTTGGAGCAGCAGCAGAGGCCACTGGCTTGCCACCGTTTGTGATTGATGTATGTTTACCAATGTTATTTCCATTTGAGAACTCAGATGGCAAGATGCAATTTTATATAAAAATCAAACAAAGCTTCTTGTTTTGTAACAAGACTTTTCTGTCTTTTAGAACTGAATTGGAAATTACAGAAGACAAAACAGTTTCTTCTCAACCTAAAAAGAAGAAAATCTTTTACACGAAGGACCTGTCAGGTTACAATCCTGATGGCGATCGGGCGGTAGAAAATATTATAAATATTAGAATTAATCAAATTAATAATGAAGTACGATCGCTGCATGAACAGTTGGACACTTTACGGCGCCAACAAAGACAAGATAGAAATATATTAGATGAACTCCACCAACGGTTGAGTTTATTGGATATTACAACTAATATTCTGACATGGGGAGTCGCTGATCCAGGTGAAAACATTTTTCTCTTTATTATTTTTGAATACTCTAAATACATTTTTCTATTGACCTGCTTATGAATCATTTTTTTCCACAAGTGACAGAAACCCCGAAAGTCATGCAAACACCAAAACCCTCAAAAATAGTTTTCTACGTTCACCCACATTTTTTAAAAGAGGGGAACAAATTGCGCCCGCATGTACATATCTATATCTGTGTTTTTTGATTCTGGGGAAAAGCTGCGACAATAAAATTATGGGACAAGGTTCGAAGCACTTTGACTTTGTCTTCAAAGAGGATTGTGGTGAGATGTGGTAATCTGTGTGATGCCGGGCCAAATTGCAGCTTTTAGCACTGCTTTCATAACCCCATTTTTGTCAACGGGAACTTTCTACGTTAAAATGCTCCTGCTCCCCGTCATCACGAAATGGCACGTTGCTGTTGTTTTTAACCTTGCCTTTGCCCATCCACTGAGCTGCATCATTATGATCTGCTTCAGTAAACTATGTGCCAAGATGGCAACCAAGTGTTTTTTTTGTTGTTGTTTTTTCCTTATTTACTCCAGACCCATGTGTGTCAATTAGTGGATTTAAATGTATGCCTCTTCAGTGCGTGGTTTTCTGTTATTACGTTCCAAACTGTACATCTTTATTCCCCTGGCCCACTGTATCTGCTGGCGTGAGAGCAGGCAACGAAGAAAATAGGACGACTTGAAAGGACAGGCAGACGAACCGAGACGGGGGAGAACAACATTTCCAGCTGAGTTTGGAGCTTTTGTGGAGGCCATTAAAGGAGAACTCATCTACAATGTGAAAGCCTCCGAACATCCCACCCACACATATCATTAATGTGCCGTATTTGTCTTACATCGCAACACAAGAAAGTGCAAAAGCACAAACAGCATAAAAATATAACCAGTGCTTGAGTAAGGCCGTGGACCTAAACATAGAGAGGCTCTCGGAGGAGTGTTTGTTCAGCGCGAGAAGGACGAATGTCATTGTTCTAAAAAATATGCAAGCTCTTTTCTGGTTTTAATGATGGTAGTAAAAATAATCATGTCAGGCTATAAAACATATTTACTATCATCAGTATAGAATGTAGGATAAAGATTAGACGAGCAGGAGGAGTTTAAAATAACTACATGCAAAATGTGTTATTCAGGATATTGCAAAAGCCACATAGCAACCAGAACCAAGAGTGTTGAAATTCACACAACACAAACTCATCCAACTATGAAAAAATGACAAATATGTTTATCTTGTATATTTAGATTCATATATATACAATATTCAAGCATGAAAATATTTCTTCAGATATTTTTATACCAGAAGAAATAAAATATCATTGAAATGTTTATCTCAATTCAAATAAAGAACCAAAACTTTTGCATTCGCCACAAATTGATATATTTCAATCTTTTATTCAGTTGAGGTTTCTTAAGGCTTTTTTGGTATTTAAAATGCTACATTTAGCTTTGTAGAAAATTAAAATATAACAGAAGACAAAGAAATCACCTCTAATAAAATAAGAAATAAGTGTTATGACCTGTGCAATCACTGAGAAAGCCGCTGACTTGGCCGTTGTCAAGTTGAATAAGTCACTGGTGATCACAGCTGAAGGAAAGTAGTACAAGTTGTGGTAGAAAAAGGTGTAGAAGCAATAGGATGTAATGCAGGCTTAAGAGGATTGTAAAGCAAAAGCCAATTTGGTAATTTGGTGGGAATTTACAAGGAGTGGACTGCAGCTAATGTCAGAGCTTTAAGAACCAACATACACAAAGGTATAAAGGACATGAGCTACCGGCATTATTCAGTGGTCCTCTTTTAAAGTGAAATAAAAATTTGCATTTCCTTTGAACATCTATCAAGAGTCTAGAAGAGCAGAGAGGCACAGAAGTCAAGCTGGTTTATGTCCAGTGGGAAGTTTCCACTGTTGGTGATGATTTTTGGAGCCAAGACATCTGCTGGTTCTGGCCTCCTGCTTCTCTCAAGTCCAAAGTTAGTTCAGCCATTTTAGATGCTTATAATGCATAGCTCTGTGTGTAATCTATCTATATAGCATGAGTTCAGGGACCATGGAGCAAATCGGCAATTCAAGTCAAGTCATACACTCATGAACTGGAGGGAAAAAATAGCAGCACAGCAAGTGGAGTAATGTCGAGTAGTCGGCCAAAAACAAGCAAAGATCAACCAGGAGTGGAAATTAAACATTTTCTCCATTTTTTACCGGCCACTCAGACATTTCACCAGCCACTGTTTGTTTATTTATTTATTTTGATTACAAACCCCACCAGTAAAATATATATATATTTATTTATATGAATCAAACTATATCATTCCTGCAATCATTTCCTATGTTGAACATTTCCACAACTCCCCTGGATATTTATTGAAGATGTCTCTAGTCATTTCTGAAATACATTTAATATCTGTATTAATATGTTTTCTCACTGTTCTATTTGTTTTACCAAAAAACGTCTCCAAACATGTTCATTATAAATTCCCTGGGCCATCCTGTGTTTTTCTGAAATCTTAGTGTAGACTGAATACCGAACCAGAAAGTTTGTTGGGTGATTGCATAGTGAGCTCTGTTTCCATTACAAATTTGCACAAAACTGTGTCAATATTCTGTCAATGTAAGAAAAATAAAAAAATACACACACACACACACACACACACACACACATATTTCTACTGAATAAATTAAATGGGCTACATTAAATTAAAGTCATACAAGTAATCTTGTTCACATGACAGGTCATTCAAAATCATAGCAGCGACAAATGTAAACAGTTACATGAGTTATATTCATATTTCAGTCACGGTGCTCCTTAGGGGAAATGTCTTATTCAGGCGTTGAGCAACAAACCCTTTATACTTTGGAGTGGCCACGCAACTTTTATGAACTATACAATGCCTGAGCTGCAACAAAAACTAACCAAGATCTCCTCCTACTGCCTGCTGTTTTCTTCGTAGTAACGTCTGCTTGTTGACGAAGTGATTTGTGATGTGAAAAAAGTGTTATGTGAAATGCGTGTATTTCAATTCAGATGAGAAACTACCTCATTCTAGTGCTAAAACATTTTAGAGAAAAACGTGTATTTTCAGAATTGCCTAAAAGAAGTTGAGCAAATTTCTTTTAGTAATTTCAATTTGCGCAACTTTGTGGGTAATGGAAACACATGTATGAACAAAGGTTAACTAATAATGGAGTGAAGTTCTGAGGTAGAACCAAGAGATGCTGAGGTTCTCTAGAGACTGAAACATTTCTGAACACAACAGATAAACAAAGAGGCACAATATCAGAAAAACCATGTAGTGGTGACATTATCGGTTATTCCTGTGATGCCAACATCAGTTGTGATAAATCCAGGTTTTCTCCCCGCCCTCTCATCGTTTCATCTTTACTTACTGTGACATTTAGCATGTGAGCATCCATTGTAGCAAGAGTTTATCCAACAAGTTGAATATTACACTGACATAAAAACCGCAAACTATTGACACTTGTAAACGATTTTACAACAATTATTGCATTCTAAGATGCTGTGACGGCCCTGCTGTGTGGCTGTGTGGCAGGTAAATTGTTTGTCAATTAAGGTCCTTGATTGTGGGAGGTGCCTCTGATTATGTGGCCAGCAGAGTCCTGTGGGGGCCAACCGGGTCCATGACTGGGGGAGCACCAGGCTGGGGGGAGGCTAGGGGAGCACCAGGCTGGTTTATCACATCTTGGGCTGCCGCTCATTATTCCCTAGACAGTAATTTTTAATAAATGCCTCTGAAGGCTGAATAATTATTCTGGTTGTCGTGTCCTCCCTATTTTTTGTTGCGGCCGTCTGAGCCGGGCCGTAACAGATGTACTTTGTAAAAGTAAAATTGCACATGTTATCTTCACCCTGTATCAGCGGTAATGGAAAAGAGGTTGTTGCTTTTATGCCAATTCACCAAGTTAATCACTTGTTTTTCCTTCCCACCTGTGATCGGCGAGACTCTTCACCGTAGTGGACTGTCCACACACTGTGTATCCGTCTATTGATGGGCTGCTTCATTCATGCTAAGGTCTTCAAAATGATAAATGGTTCTCTCTCAATCTTACTTCAATTGAACTTCTGTGGGACCAGCTGACTCACATGCACACTGATTTAATTTTCCCCTCCTGTTTCTCCTGTGTTTTTTTTTCCTTCTTCTTTTTGTCAGTGGGTTTATATTTATTTAATTTCTCTGACAGCAAATAGGGCTGGCTTTGCAGCCAGTCAGTTCCAGTCAGTGATCAATTTGGAAAACCTGCATTATTTATACCAAATGAACAAGAAGCGTCGCTTTGCTACTGAAGTTGCGCCAGGTGGAACCATCTCTCAAGGTCAGTCAACAGCAGATGGCTACAGGGACAGAAATTTACTGGAAGAGGGCAGAAAGAAAAAAAAAGACAAAAGTTTGTTGGTGAGATATATTCTCCTTGTCTCAAAGTTGCTTTAATGAATGTTTTGCTTCTTACTGGAAACACACAACATGAGATCCACACAACCTTTCATCAAAGTATTCATCTGTTTCACAGAATAAAATGTCCTGAATTCTTTTTAAAGCACTTGATTGTGGCACAGCAATGTAAAGTTATACACAACGGTAAAGTAGAAAGACATTGGAATGGGTTTCAACACTTTTTTAAAGGGTACCTAATATGCAAAATTGACAATTTTCACTTTTTTGTACTTCCACTGGGGTTTTCACTGCTTTTGAAAATGGTCAAAGCGCTTAAAAAAGAAATGTAGTTGGATTTTGTCAATAAGTTTGTCAGGAATGGTGTTTTGACAGGAACCATGAGGCTTTCTCCTTCGTCTCTTAATGCTTTTAATCTTCATTTCAGTCAAAATTCTCAGATCGGACTCACAAGGTACAACCAACGCCAATAAATTCAGAATGAACTCTGACTAGACTCAGACACAACTTAGACGAGACTGCCGCGCCAAACCTGAACTTAAATCACTAAGAAACAGGTGTAGCAAATTACTAATCAGGGGACACAAGGAACAGAGAAGGAAAACAGGAAGCACACACAAGAAAACACTTGAAACCTAAAATAAAACCTGACTAAAAGTAGCGGAACACAGGAAAAACCCCACACAGAAACAACCCCATAACAAAGTTAATGTTTTTGATGTCTGTAAAATGAGCCACTTCAAAAACCTTGTAAAGTCACAAATCAGCAGGCCGTTCCCCTCACCTAGCAACCCAAGCAGAGCTCCAGCACGTTTGGTCAGCTGGTTCTACCGCAGTATGACGTCAGCTAAATGCTGCATTCTTGTTGATTGTGCAGGAGGCGCCACTTCTGCTCTGTTGCATTTGAAAGCCATTTTTACATGAGAGCGTAAACGTTGAGTTGGTGGGCATTTAAAGTGACGAGGCCCTTGGAACAGCTCGTTCTGAAAGGAGCTCAAAGCAGGCAGAACTGAGCAAACTAAAGTCTTGTTATCTTGTATAAGAAGGATTTTGTTAGTTTTCTGCCACACAGATCATGTAGCCCAGAAAGTTCAATCTTGACCTCATTTGACCGAAGCACTTGTTGTCTTCTACATGGTTTGTGGAAAACGGCACACAGTATTTTTTAGGCTTTCATTTAACTGCTTTCTCTTCTCTACATTTTCATAACGACCAGATGAAGGTGGATGACTCAGTTGTCCTGTGGATAGATTATTCCTCCTGCGCTGTGAATCTCTGCAGTTCCTCTACAAAAGCCTCTTGGTTGCGTCTCTGATTGATGCTCTGCTGGCCCAGTTTGTCAGATAAGCTGGACAGCCATGTCTTGATAGCGTTGCAGTTGTGCTATACTCTTTCTAGTTTCATATGTTGAATTAGAGACTGAGGTGTTGAATGCTTAGGGTATTGTTTTACAACCTAACCCCCTCCTTGGTCTTCATGATGCCGTTTGTTCTCTAATGTTCTCCAACAATCCTCGGAGGCCTTCGTAGAGCAGCTGAATGTAGATGAATCACAGAGAGACGGACCCCGTTTACTGGCAGCAGGTATCTTCTTAATTTTGTGCTTCTTGCTTTGTCCCAGTCTAGCACATAAAATGCACTGGAAAATGTGTAACATGAAAAATGCAACATGATCATGAGGTGAGATGCTCTGCGTGTTCTGACCTACAACATGCTGGCAGCAGTAAATCAGGTGCAATATCAGTACAGACAGTGGTAGCATTAGCAACACTACATCGACTAAGAGTACCGCCAGCACCACTGAAAAGCTCATTTTTACCGTAATACCCGGTAACCGTGGCTCGTAAAGTCCAAAAAGACAAACATTTCTTGTAGTTGGTTTGCATTCAGACTGGTCTGTTTTCACGCCAGAAGCAAACCACACCTCAAAAAGTGGGTTTCAATCCAGTTGTTCAGTCCACATCATGGTTCTCTTGAGTGTATTCACACCTGCATTAAAGGTCCAGACCAATGGGGGAAACAAACTCTTGCTCTCGGGAACTCTTGGGAAAACGACCTTTGGAAAAAAGGAACATCGTGTTAGGTGTGAATCCACCCTTGGGTTGTTTATTAGCCACGTTGTGTGACTCTGTAACAGGCATAATTATTGTTTTATTTCCTGCCTTCTCTCATTGCTGTAAGGCGTCATGAAAGTTTTAGCAGTCATGGTCCAGTAATGGGAGGCATCGCATCCATCATGTACATTATTACAGTGACCTATATTTAAATCCTGCCTGGTCTTTGTCATCCCATCCATCCCACAGTTCAGATCGTCACTCTTCTTGAACATTTTACGAGTAATCGTTTTGTACAAAAAATGGAAATAGGACCCTCATGCTTCACCGGATGAGTTTGTGTTCCAGGTTGGGGAAAAAAAATAACTGCAGAATGACTAAATGTAAATGGTCAGAGGGATTTAACATCGCTGACACAAAGGTCAGGCTATGTGAACAAAAGTGAGCAGAAGGAACATTTTTCATTCAGACTCTAAAGGAAGCTTTGGATGAACAAGCACGTTTCACTCATTTTTTTTACTTGTAAATCTAAATCTGATTTTATCCAATCTTGTTGATGCAAAAAGAGTCATTATGAAACTTTTTATAACAACCAGAACCTCAGTAAATTTCAATGTACTGTGATGCAGACTGCAACACGAATTAGAATTAGAGAAGAAAAAAATGCTTGTGGCACCACTTAATTTGTGAAACGATTTAATAAGTGTCATTTTGTCTTGGTGATGGTGCTGCCCCTCTGCGACTGTGGTGGGGGGAGTTGGCATGGTAACCCTGGATAGTAGAGGCCAAGAGGCAGATGTAGAAAGCTGCTGCATTGCTTAGTTGCAGGCTTTATTCTGCATAGCATATTAAGTAAATATCATTTTGTTTGATAAATTGTTTTACAATATCTATTATAACTGTGGCACCAACTAACCCAATATTGAATAAACCCATTGAAATATAATTTATCAATTATTCTTAACAGGTTTTTAGCCCATTTATGTTTTTTATCTATTTTAACTTTTTAAAGACTGTAACTTTTTTGTGAGCCTAACAGCAACAGAACACAGACTTTATTTGTTCTCCTGATCATTTGTACCCCACTAAAGTGCAATGTGGACATTCATTGCTAATAATCGTGGTTTGAGGACACACACATCTTTATTGTACATATTGCTTCAATGTGTGTAATAACTAATAATTTGGAGGGAATAAAAGAAAAACATTTTCTATCATGAGTTTGGGCAGCATAACAAACCACTCACATTAGGTCATCCCAGTGCTGCCGCCAAATGACAGCACTGACTAGCATTTGGACACCACACTCTTCCATAAGAGGGGGTAAAAATGAGCCGCATTAGAATCAATGCTTTTATATATCTCGTATTATAAGTTTGTCCACACTGGAATGATTTTAAAGTTCAGATCATTTTATTCGTAACTTTTTGAGCATTTTTTAAAAACTTGTGAAAGTTGGAAAAGAAAACTGCACAACAGCAGTTGAACAAAATGAATATCTATTTTGCATACATGCGTGTGTGTGTGTGTGTGTGTGTGTGTGTGTGTGTGTGCAGGAGTAAGAATCTCTTCATCTAACATCAGTAGGACCATTTCAGTGGTATACCTTGGAGCTATGACACCTTGGATGAGTGAAAATAAAAGGAAAAGAATTGTTTGAATATAAGCAAACCTAATAATCAATATGGACGTACACAGGCAAAAGCCAATACACACAGCAACAGCAGCTGGTTTTGAACACTATAAAATAGAGCCCGGGTGCTCAAATTCGGGCCTGGAGTGCTGGTGTCCAGGGACTCTTAAATGTCTCTCCCTGGTCCCACACAACTGAATCAAATAGCTGAATCACCTGCTGAGACCTCAGTCAATTTTTCCAGAGTCCTGCTAAAGGCCTAATTGTTTCACTCAGGGTGCTCGTGAAAAACTTCCCTGCCTGGAGGACCGGTCTTGAAGACTGATTTAATCATGAAAATAACAAATAAAATACATAAATGACACACAGGTACACACTATAAAAAGGGTAATGCTAGCTAGTTTAGGAAAACAAAAACAATGGTGGATGATAAATAATGAGAGCTTGTTCTTCTCTGTTGCTACAAACAAGCGAAGCATGAGAGAAAAGTCAACACACTGCACTCCTCCTGCTGAGCTGCTCCTACGTGCTCATCCAGGGGAGTGAATACTGCCATTTTGATTGATAATAAATTAGCGCAAAATGAAATTATAAAAATAAATTCGCTCAATGGAAACAAGTTAATTTTTTCAATAAAAAGTTTTTGCAGTAGAACGAAGTGGCTTTTCAGCCGTTTCAAAATCTGTGTATTTCACAAAACTGCAATGGAAACATTTTTTTTTTCACTTGAAAGAAGTCACATGAATAAACAATCAGATGTTTCTTTAAAAAATTAAGAAGACAACAGGAAGTGTTTGGAGGACGATGGTCCAGCCTGATTTTTAATGGATTTATCACACGAACAAATTTATTCATGTGTGATTTTAATTACGTTTATTTAATGCAAACACAGCGATTAGACCTGCAGTCTAGTCTGTGTGATCCACTAGATATGTGTTGCTGCCAGCCACAAGCTGCGGTTTCATTAACTATATGCAACCCAGGATAAAATCTGCCCTTGAGCATCCCTTTACTGCTCCAGATGCATTACTATTGGTTAGTATGAGAGTCATTTAATTACATGATGGATCCAGCCAATCACTGCGTCTGGAGTGGTAGGAATACAGGCCTGCTCCAGCTTTCCCCAGTCAGGTGAGAGAGGGAGACAAAGCTCCCAAACAACTAAAGAACTCTGTTCTTTATGCACTTTAAGGCTCACAGTACAAATATGATTTAGATCTCAACTACCAGTGAGGTTGGAGCCATGAAGTTTGTCATGCACTGAACTGTGAACGGAATCGGTGAGTAGTGAATGAAATGTTTGTTTGTAGTTGATGCTAATTGTTTGGGTGGCATTTGGAGCCAGTTATTACCCGATTCAACTTATAAAACTCAATATATGAGTTTAATGTAAGTGTTTATGTCAAATGTCTATGTTGTCTTAAAGACATACAGGTTGTGGATATAATTGCATCTGATTTGTGTACACAACCGTTGAAAAAAAGACTAGCTAACTGTCCGTTGAGGACAAATTGCACTTGGACATTTTCCCCCTCATATAGTTGGACAAATAAATTCATGGACTCTTTCGTTGGACATCATGCGGACCGGCGCCATTTAGTGGGGACATTTGGATCTGCCTTTTTGCATGTTTGAAAACACTGTGCACATCCATGTTGAAAGTTAACTGCAGTATAGTGTATTTGTATTTTCTTGGGTTCTTCTATGTTTTGTGTTTTTGTGGTGTTCACTTTAATTTCTCCTAAATATGGTTATTCTTTGTATTGTTTGTACTAGTCTCTGGCATCAACTCCAGTAGTCGTCTCTGGTCTCCTGATTTCTGATTTTGGTAAAAAACACCAAATAAGAAGACAAGAACTAGTAGGAAGATGATGGTTCATTTTTGACCCTGCTTGGATGTAGTAAAGTGAGCATTTAATTGTTGTAAAATCCATTGGAGCCCAGATCAAATTTACTAAACATCATTCTTTGATTGTCAAATTAGATTCTGTTAAAGTTTGCATGGTCTGAAGCCTAAAAAATGCTCATCTGCCCTCCCAGATCAGTGGCCTTGCAAAGAGGACAATAGGCTGTTGACTTGATTTCTTATTACCTGTGGAGGGAAATCTCCTCCATCTTTGATTGGGTGCCGTAATGGAGCGTAATGAGAGAAGTGAGGTGTCCGCAAACGAGTAAAGCAGCACAACTAGAGGACCAATTTCTCTGTAAATTTGTTTGTTTCCAGGGTAAAACGGTTTCCTCGTCGTACCAGCGTACCAAGATAAAAACCCAAGGGAAAAGGTTGGTGTGTCTGTTTAACAAATGTTGTTCAAATGATGTGCAGGCATTTTTTTTTTTTCTGGTTTGTTGGGGTATATCTGTTATAACATCTCGTGCTTTTTTTCCGCCCTCCTCTCCCCTCCTCGTATCTCCTCTGGGACTTTTCTGCGTGTATCTTTCCTGTTTTCCTCGCCATCATCCAATGCAATTTTCTCTTTATCAACATTTGATTTTCATCGAGTGAGCTGTCCTCTGCACAGGCGGCACAGAGCGAGACAGGAGCAGGGAGGGAAGGAGGGACGAGGAAGAAGGCAAGACACTATTTATCTGACTCTGTTCCCTCTTTTGATCTTTAATCACTTTTTATCTCTCTTCCCCCTGGTTGTCTGACACCAGTGCACCTCTAACTGTGGCCCCAATTTGTTAGATATGACCATTAGTTTATGTCAAGTTTACCAAGTGTTGCCCCTTGTAGTGCGATGCTTGTCAGTGGGTTTTTCTGTGATATCTGAGATGCTGCAGCAAAATATCAGAAGTGTACAACTGCAAACACATTGCAATTTATATTAAAAGGTGAAAATGTAATTTAGATTATGTGTGATAAAAACCTCCAGGGTTTAATCTCATCCTTCTGTAACATACAGTGCCTTGCAGGTATTCATAGCCCTTGATGTTTTCTACATCTATCAGGTTCTATGTGACCTGATGAACACAAAGCTGTACAAGATGGTGAAGTTAAAGGAAAGGCTCCAATGTTTCTGAAACTTCTGAAAAGTCTGGTGAGTGAAATTGCATATTTTGGTATTGATCCAAAACTAAGTAACTACAGGGACAGTATAGGTGATACCAATACTTGTACCGATACTTACTATTTAAGTATGATATATCACCAAACCTGTTTATTTTGAATTATCTTGCTAAAACCTTGGACAGAATTTAGATCAAGTTTATAGGTGCCTAAAATACTAAAACATATTTGCATGACAACCAGAAACAATATATGAAAAACATGTGTGTGCATTGTTTTCTAAACAAACTACAATGCAAAAGTAAAAGTCCAAGAAACAATCTTAAACTAAAGAATCAATCTTATCACATTAGTACCGATCCGACACTGATATTGATGTGGTATCGATATTTTTTCTAAAACTCTGCTTTCAGGAAGTCATTAGCACATTGCTATAACTATCTATTAACACTTTAACAACGTTTTTACCAGTGTTGCACTAACAAGTAGCTCCTATAATGAGCTCCACAAATGCACAGTTCAATCAGCTGTTTGCTAATTGCTGCTGGCTAGTCTGAAGGAGCTGAGTGGATGATTTGAAGTTTGGAAACTCCAGCAATGAGAAAGAGCTTCACCGTTGAAAGCTGCACTGGCCCCTCCCAATCGCATCGTACAGCTGAATGGTTGCCACGGGAGATTAAAGGATTTCTCAAATATGATTTAAAGAATCAAGGCAGCACTCCAGCTATGTTTTTGTTGATGGAACAACATATGATGTAAAGCTCAAAAAGTCAATTTTACATAACACTACCAGTTCAGCCAGCTTTGTACAGTTATCCTGTATCGCCACACAATGTTACGCATAAAGGCCAAAAAGCTTCACCAGTTTTTCTTCTTGCCACTCTTTTACAAAGGCCATTTGTAAAGGGCGTGACTTACATTTGTCGGGTCTACAGGTTAGCCTGCCTGGCTTTGGTTCGCTGCAGCACTGCCAGGATCACAATTATCTGCTTGCATGACCGGTCAGTTTAGGTCGGTGGCCATGTCTTTGTAGGTCTGCAGTTGTGCCATAATCTTACTGTTCTCATTTAACAATTGTCCATTGGATGTTAAAGGCTTATAATATTGCTTTATATATGGTTGCTTGGTTATCCTATCAAACCCCACACTTTCCTAAAGATATACTGTGTGACTGACATATTCAGTTATGAAGAAACCTTCATAAATAATATACATTTAAAGGGGCAGTATTATAGAATATTGACTTTTCTGAGCTTTTAAATCATGTTATACTATTTCCACATCAAAACCATAGCTGGAGTGTTGGCTTGATTCTTTCATGCATCTTTAAGAAATCCTTTAATCTTCAACGGGAACCATTCAGCTGTGCCAAACACTCGGGTGGGCCTAGCTCCGCCTTCAAGGCCAAAGTTCCTCCTCAGAGCTTCCTATTCACAGAGCAACCCTCCCCAACCATCAGCTCCTTAAGACTAGCCATCAGAAACTAGCCATCAGAAATTAGCAAACGTTTGATGAAATTGTGTGCCTGCTGAGCTCATTTTACGTGCTATTTCTCAGTGAAACCTTGGTAAAAACATTGTTAAAGGGTCAGCAGAGGAACACCGTTGTGAGGACTTCCTGAAGGCAGAGTTTTAGAAAGAGCAGGACGTTTTAAAGCAAGAGGCCCAATTTCAAGACATTAAAGAAATTTGAGATCAAAATTTAAAGTCATATTTGATATGTAGCTTTTTTTTAACAACTGAAGGCAACAGTTACCTGATTGTACTATAAAATGATACTATGTGGCTGAAAACCACACAATGCTGCCCCTTTAAAAACCACATCCATTAATTAATATTTGTGAAATGTTAAAGTTGAGAGATCTTTAGAAGTACCGTGGTGAATTTTTAATATCCTAATTAACATGTGCTGTAGTTTCTCATTGGCTTCCAATTAGACACAAGAAGCTAGAAAAATCCTGTTTAAAGGTCAGTCAGATAAATTGTTAATGTTAAACATATCAGAATGAGGTTGAAAACAAGGTTGTTCTCTACCAGCTAGATCATTTTTCAACTGAATCAAAAGTTTCAGCAGCTAATTAGGTTCATACAACTCTGAAAAGTTGCTAAAAAAATCTCCATTGCAGTTGACTATTTAATGTCATGTATCGGTTTTACGCAGTAAATCATCATTAAAGTGGAAATAGAGGAATCTCTTGCTCTGTGTTTATATTCTGCACACCTAAATAGCTTTGCATAATTTACTGTTCAAAGAGCATTTAGCCATAATGTTGTCTACTCTTATGTAAAGAGAACCGAGGATGTGGATCTTCCAGGATGTGAAAAAGTGGCTCCATTAAATTAAGTTCAATTACTGGCTCTTTATGCCAGCACCTCTGCTGCTGGAAGCTCCAACGGATTTTTCTTCTTTCCCACCTCATCCAATAAACAGCAAACTTCCTGCTGATTTATAGGTGTGGCAGAAGCCTCTGCAGAGTCGTTTTAACGAGTCATTTAGGAGGAATTTATGTTGATAGTCGAGTAGAAAAGACATGAAGACTGAAGAGTTTGACAGTTTCTAAATAGAAACATGTACAGTAGCTAGCTGTTTTGTTGATGTAAAAAAAAAACATTCTGGCATCTGTTATGCAAGGTAAATAATAGAAACATTTGTTATTCCAATCTTAAAAAACAATTCTGCTTTTTATCTTACAAAGCAAATGGCATTGAAGAGAAAAGTACCTCTATGTCACATTAGCAAAGTTAGCTCAAAATCAGACGCTAGCAGCACAGTGACATCCTACTTCAAAACAAGACGCAGTCAGTTCAAACTTTGAAGAGCAAGAAGTTGCTGTTTTATTAGTTTCAGAAAACATTGTTTTATAGCTATATTTTGTTATTTTTAGTTACATGAGGATTGATTTCATAGTACTTCATGGTGTTTTGCTAATTTGCCCTTAAACGCACAGTTTGGATTTTTTCTCTCAGTAACATCTCTCTTGGTTTAAAATAATTTATTATTGTAAGTGAAGAAGGCTAGGCAGTAAGACTCCTGGGTTCAGCTAATTAAATATAAAACAAAGTGACATATGATTCATATATTTATTCATCACCTTTTCTGTCATTTTGTGTTTCACAGGAAAAATAAATCAGAAAAAACGAGTGGACACAGTTTTTGCTAACATTTTGGATCAGTGCAAAAAAAAGTTTTTTTTGGATAAATCTAGATTAGGAGTTAGCCAACCACAGTTCTCATTACTGCATTGTTTCCCATTATATAGGCAGTACATCTACTACTTTTACTACTGAGGCATATTTTATAATTGAGTTGTAATTCATTTAATAGGTGCCGACCAACGCCTTCCAACTTCTCCTGCTGACTTGGTTTTCAGAGGCAGAGAACTTGTAAATGAGGTGAGTGAATTTGTGGGAAATTTTTAATACACATTTGATGATTTCAAATATTATTAACCACCCAAAGGTAAACCAGAAAATAAGCCCACTCCTTGGAACTGAGAGAAGCATCACTGCTGCTTAGTTTCCCCAGACAAAGTGTCTGGATGGAGAGACCAACGACAACATCAAGAGGTAAAATCTATGATTTCAGTCTGTTGAGGAAACATATTTTCTGTTCTTTCACAGCGGTTCATGGTTTTTTGGGGGGGGTTCTGCTGCTTACATTGTAGCGCCCTAAAGAAGGTGGTCAACAATCAACAGAACAACTGGGATTTGATCTAGGAAGCCACACGCTTTTCCCTGAGGTCGAAACTACACACCACAACAAAGTGCTCCCCATTTCATCTGATGTGCATTTGGGAGAGAAACAGTCTTCCCTTCAGAGATTGCAGCCGACTTGACGCCAAGTATCTGGTTCAGTCTCATGACTTTAGGTGTAAATCACAAAGAAGTCTTCCTTCTAAATACGAGGAAACGGGGAAGAAAAGTGGGAAGAATGGAGCCAGATTTCTCTGGCCAATATACACTCAACTCTGTTTGTGGAAAACTATCCACTCTGAAGAATTCAGAAGGAACAAGTTTTAAAATGAAGTTTAATGTTGGCCATTCAAAGGCTTACAGAAGAGAAGACAATAGAAGCCTATAAGCTTTGAAGCGACCAAGACACAAACTAACCTGGAAACTCGCAGCATTTGAAGCCTCCAGAGAGGTAAAGTTGACTACCGTACAGGCAGAAAAAGAACCCGTAGTCCATAACCCATAGACAGATATGAAAGTTGATACTCAAGAAGGTCACAACCTTGAGTTTCTTCTCACCGCTTTGACACCAGTTATTCATTTACATGGTTGTCACCAAGTATTAAAAGAATGACACCAGTTCCTATTTTGCATGATGATTGTTTCTTGGATGCCTTCGATATGTAGCTCATTAACAGAATGGCACCTGTTCTCATTTGACATAGCATTGGGCTAATTAAACTTAAACGCAAAAGTTGCTACAACAGCTTAAATCTGATGCTGCTCCATCTTTGGGGCGACTGTGGTTCTGTGGGTAGAGTCGTTGCCTTGTGACCAGAGGGTCTTAGGTTCAATTTCAGCTTCCTCCTGTTAACCCCAGGTTCCCTACCGATCTGCATGTCTGTGTATGAATGTGTGAGCATTTGGTGTGAATGGATGAATGTGACTATAGTGTAAAGCACTTTGAGTGGTCAAAATGATTGGAAAACCATTATGTAAGTTCAGTCTGTTTACCAGAAGAAAGTTCCACTCATGTATTTTTTCCAGGTTTTTTGTCATTTTGTTCTGTGGTTCTTGATGCAACGCCACCACAGGTGAAGAGGTGAACAGGTTTTAAAATTGTTTGACCCAGTGCAATGTGAAAGAGACTCACACCAGCTGAAAATGTAACAAACTTCAGTCATGGTCCCCAATCGAACCAAGTGTACCAGAGTAATGTGAAAACACCTTTAAGCTTTCATTGATCCACCTCAAAAGGATCTTGGAAAGTTTGTGGAATATTTGCTGTTTTTTGCCTGAAGCTTCGGTATGCACAATTAATAGGGCAGTAATTATTTTTCTGATGTAGGTCTATTTGGCATATTAAAGCAAATTTAGAATGCCAGTCTACCTCCTCAATAACACACATGTACACACCTCCATAAGCATGTGCATACACACAGCAGCAGCTATCTTTGTCTTCACTTTTCAAAAAAAAGGAAATATCTCATTTTGCTTTCATGCCTTAAGTCATCTATAATGATAAATTCATAATTCAAAATCCTTTAATGATGTGATTAAAAAGTAATTTGAGCCTTGTTGCATGGCTCTGCCTCCCTTTCCCCAACACACACTCACACACCACCTTCTCCCTTGCCATTATGCTGACATGTCTTTTTGGATTCTGCACTTTGTTGCCAGAAAAATAATTGTTTCTTTTTTATCACAATAAGTAATCTTAGATCTCCGACTACTGGCAACTTTGGTCATTTAGGTCCCATTCTACTGTCGCCATATGTCCACAGTCAGATGGAGCCCAGCTTGTTGGCTAGCACAAGCGTTAGTAGGAAGGTAGCTAACAGAGGCTAATTGGCAAAATTGCAGCCAACTAGAGATGGCAATTAAACCTGGATGGCATTTAAATGTGATCAATTTCCGATTTCAATGGTACCCTCATGGGAACTTACAGGCTTCTTGAGATAATAAAACATCAATTACAAGAATTTTGACCTTTGTCTAAAACAATCTCTGCATAATATTACTCTGACTATCCTTTAAGTACGAATGACCTCCACTGAAAAAGACACTTCCATTGTCTAGCCTAAATGTCTAATATTTTAAACAATTTATCAATTTTTATCCATGTAATAGTGCCAAAGACGTTCACATCTCTTTTGCATTTCACCATATTATATTCACAAAGCTATATGTAGCTTACTAAGAGTTGATTTTACGGAACAACGACAAGTAACACGTACTTGTGATGTGAGGGGAAAAATATTTTATTTGTCAATAATTTAAATTTCACCAAGTGAACATTTGATCTTCGAAAGAAAGAAGGTTCTTAACATGCGAAAGGTGTTCTGGTGAAATAAGAACAAAATAGTGTACATGAGAAGCATTATGTGTGATAGAAAGCTAAAAATGCACATTATTCTTAAGAGACCACATTTATGATGAAACATGGTGGTGGCAACATCTTCATGTGGGACTGTTTTTCTGCAGGTTCAGAAATTGCCAGGTCAGGATTCATAGAAAAGTGAAAGGAATTAAATACAGGGCACAAAAAGAAAAACTGAGAAAAGCAGCAACTTTTGAGACTAGATTCACCTCCCAACAGAACTACCTTTCATACAATTAACAGCCAGAGCTTCAAGAGAAGGGCTTTAGTAAAACCCAAACCATTATCATGTGCTCAAATATACCAAAATCCAGAACTACATCCAACTCAGAATCTGTTAAAGTATTTGAAAGTAGCCTTTCACTGCTGCTGTCCTTAAGTCTTCCACTTGTATTTACAGAAAAAGATGATTCAACAAAGTATCGACTCAAAGGGCTCAATACAAAAAAGCATGCCACACCTTACAGGGTTTTCTTTTATATATACAAAATATAAAAATCATGTTATTTACATTTCGCTTCCTAGTGAAATCCACTGAAATTAGTAGTAATGAAACAAACTGTGAGTAAGTTTCAGGGGTAATAAATACCACTAGCCTGGTAGAAACCAGCCCCTTGCTTCACACAGAGGGTATGGACTCGGGGCTGTTGAGACAACGGCTTCCTGGAGGCGTGCTCTCTTGAAGTTTTAAATTTTACCCAATTGAATACGTTTCGTAATGTACTTATTGCACCAATTCGACACTACGAAATGTCAATCTGAATGACCCGGCCCGGTTGTTAATGTTGATTCAATATTTGGAAGTGTGGCTAACGTGGACTCAACCGTTTCATTCACTTCCTCTGCTGCCATTGTCAAACGACAACCATAGGCAGACTACATTTCAAAAAGTGAGAAAAAATGTGATTTTAAAGTAAAAACAAAATTTCAAGTTGAAATACTACTGGAGGAATCCATCTCAAAGGAAGAAGCTAAGACAGAGCACTGAAGGGAGATGAGAATTGAGTGGAATTGTGTAGAAAGGTAATACCCAGCCTAAAGTATCACAGCAGGGCACAGTTTTTACATTGTTTTTCCCATTTTGCTCAAAATGTCATCCATCTATCTGTTGGTTGGTTCTTTTCTGCAGCAGTCATTAGGCAAGAGTCAAAGTAGGCTCTGGATAGGTTGCCAGTTCATCACTGGACATCTTGGGGAGACACAGGATAAAACAGCCACGCACACACAGACTTACAAGAACAATTTAGAGACCAACTAACCTAGTAGTCACATATTTCTGCCAGGAGAGGAAGCATGCATGGGAAGAACATGTAAACTATGCAAAAAAGACCCCAGCCCAGGATTTAAACTGAAGACCTACTTTCTGCAAGGCAACAGTGGTACCAACACTGGGCACTGAACAGATTTTAAGATGTGAATTTTTTAAAACCTAAAAGACAAAGTTCAAAGCAGTGAAAAAGCACGACAGCTACTCAGTCGAGTTAGCATTATCTGATTCTGAAGCTGTGTGACTGACATCAAAAGAGGGACAAAAAAAAATTATCTTCAGACAGACTTTCTCTTTGCATAACAATATGCTAATGCAGGCATTGTCTTCTGCTATGTCATTCATGTCTTTTGAGAGCTACTGCTACACTTAATTCTTTGAACTTCCACTTTGGAAAATCAAACCTCTGACAGTGTGTGTGCTTGCGCGTGTGCATGTCTCATATTTTAAATCGAATAAATCACTGTTCAAAATGACATCTTTTATCCACTTACAGTAAGTACCATAATAGCGGGAATAATCCAATAAAAATGATGAGGTTTCCCAGCTGAGCGGACTATTATATGTGCGTTCTTGTATTTGATACACTGTGAGGACTGTGTACTTAACAAGCTCTGCTGTGGGGACTGACATTTTGTGGGGCCCATCAGAAGAAGTGCTGTTTTCTAGCATCCATGAGGGGCCACCCTGAACCGACGAATCAGCAAATGGACAATTGGGACGGGACGTAAACAAACAGCTCCGGTCCTGCCCACCCACTGCCACGTATGCGGACATCCTGGAACTGATGATTGGATCTGATTGTCACATATAATGAAGCAAAAGGAGCCCATTCGTCCAGTTGCTTTCTGCATTGAGCTGAGAGAGACATGACACCCACCAAGCTCAAGAACCGCTGCCCCGTCTACCACAGCAAGTCCTGGAGGCTGAGGACAGACCTAGACAGCGTTCATGGAGTTAAGCATGCCCGGGAACAGAAGATCCTGCTCAGATGCACGTGCGGTAAGAGCTCCAAGATCAAGCGGCCTGTAATGCCCAATCATCTCTGCAGGTGCTGGGAGCTGGCCAGGGACTAGATCCCCAAGCTGTTGGACGAGCTGGAGGTCAGTCCCATGGTGGCCCTCAGGAACAAGTTCTTTGGCTACCTGGCTCTTTACCTCACTTCTCTCTATGGCCACAGAATTGGCATCATCACCAACCTGAGGACAGTTGAGGTAAATGAAGTAAGGCAGGAATCCATTCCCAATGCTCTGGGCTACATTATCAACGTGAGTCAGGCTCAGAGCCCCACCACAATCCCCATGGACCTCCATGTAAATTCTTAGCCCTTAACCTACAACTCTCTGCAAATCAAAACCAGGTTAAGAACCACAAGATAAACAGGGCATTTGGTTGTGCCCAAGTCTACCTAAATCGCGACGAGTTTGGCTGGATCAGCCGCTGGATGAGGATCAGAGCCAAGCTCCGGCTTCGCTGTGACTTAGTCTTTTTCAATGCCAGCAATGTTCGCCTCGTGAAGCTCGTCCGCCATGCAAGGGCTCTGTGGGCCGAAATGGGGAGAGATCATCCGTCTCTCCCCATTTCTACAAACCTCCATAGCCATGCTGGTGAGTACCAGCTATCACCTGGACCCCGGAGCATCCACACAACCATGCAGCCAACCATAAGTACCATGCATACAACCATATTTGTCTACTCTCTGCCCCCCCCGCCGCCACAGGCCAGCAACACCCAAACCAGCAAGGTGAGGAGGCAGATGTCCAGGCTGTTGTGTCACGACACCGCCACAGCAGACAGGTTCTATGCCTTGCAGCTGGACGTGCACCAGCTGGCCGCCCTCCGGAAGAAATTTGAGCAGGCCACCACAGCCACGACTTCCTCCAAATTTGATCAAGACACAGCACTGCGAGAGATTCCGCAGCACCACCACTAATGCCTTTATAATAAAGTACTTATCCA